ATTTGATTTTGTTAAAAAGGAAAATAGGGAAGGTAATTCTGTTACACAGCACAGTGGAGTGGTTAAGGCTACACTGAAAGCCTCAGATACCTCATCAGCAAGAAGGGAGTAGGAGTAACCGTAACCTTGAGAAGGTTGTGGAGGTTATGTGGGATGAGGCCTGCAAAGAATTCAGCAGAATACCTAACAAATGGTAACTGGCACCAAAACTCTGCAGGTATTGTAATGTATATATTCTCTAAAAGGAGCCACTGCACTCTACAACACTTCCTGAGCACTACTGTGGGCAGTGTGCTGGTCTGGGAACAGTGCTGGGTTCCTAAGAACACACGCTCTCTGTGCCACATCAGCCGCAGCCAATGAATCTGTCCCCTGAGCCACAGCTTCCTGTAGAACAAAAACTAGGACAAAAGAATGTCTGTGTGAGAATTGGAAAGGTTGTAAAACGGTATTCTTGCCACCACAAATTGTGGAGAGGCCCTCTTCTTACCCCTGAGGGTGGCTCTTGGGACCACATGAAGGATCCTGGCAGCTGCCTGTCCTTGGGAGAGACAGCAAATTGTAGCACCACATCCCGTGATGTGGTGAACAGCCCGTTCCAAGGCAAACACAAGAGTTACATTGTTTATCTCCCAGCCAACTTTATAGCTCTTTGTATGGTGCCCAGAAACCACTCCCAGTATGTCACGACAACATTGCAGACGGGATTATGTGGTTATGAAGTCAATAAACTCCTTTCCTCCTTTTATAACATGAATCCCAGCCAGCCCTACATTCACTCCAAGGAAACTCATTCTTCTGGTTATTTAGTCAAGAAAGACATAGGTAACACACAATAATGTTAGGTGTTGATGCTCACCACACACACACACACACACACACACTCTCTCACACTCATTCCCTGCTAAATCGTCCTACTCTTCTTGATGATAACATACTTGAGTTATGACAAAACTTTAAAAACAGGAAACATGTTTTGCTCAGACTGTTAAAATTTGAAATATAAACGACTTCAGAGCTGGCTGAGCTCATCCTCACACCACAAAGCAGTCTTGCTTACAATTAATTTAGCAGAATAGGGGAAGGCACAAAAACCATATGATCCTCTCAATAGATGCAGAAAAAGCATTTGATAAAATTCAACACCCATTCATGATAAAAACCCTGCAAAAAATTGGAATAGATGGTCTATACCTCAATTTAATAAAGGCTATTTATGAAAAACCATCAGCCAACATCATATTGAATGGCCAAAAACTGAAAACCTTCATGTTAAAATCAGGAACAAGACAAGGATGCCCACTATCACCACTTCTCTTCAATATAGTTCTGGAAACATTAGCACCAGTTACCACAAGAACTTTCTAGAGGCAGTTCCCTTTGAATATAGCTTTAACTCTAATACTGTTTTATTTCTCCTTCAGACCAGCATTGTTTCCTCCTTTGGTTCCCTTGCTCCCTTCCCCAGATTCCCAGTGAAACGGTTTCAATGTCCCACAGAAGAACTGAAGCCATTCGTCACTACACCAGTCCGGACCATTTCTTTGTAGAGTGCTGGCTCTGAAATTCAGCGGTGTTGTGAGGTTTTCAAGAAGGGACCAACAAAAAGGAACTCCATGTTACAAAACAGGATTTTTAAAAAGAAGCTGAAATAATTCGCAAACATGATAATTAACTTTGCTTTGTTTGTACAGAAGAAAATAAAAGTGAGTCTAAAATTGTGCAGCATCAGATAATGAGACATTTTTATCCCCTTTCCTGCCCCCAACAACTTACACTACTTCCAGAATGCATGTATTTTCAGGATGACTCTACTCAACCCTCTCCACAGAAGGCCCTAGGATCAAAACAGATACAGCTCCTCAGCACCACAGACAGGCTGGTGCTGGCTGAAAGGTGCACCCAAGCTTGGAAGGCTACAGAAAAGTTAGGTCATTGTTTATTGTCACATTTGCCTGTGCCTCTAAAACACTTGGGTTCTTAATATATACTTGAAAGATCAACTGCAGATTTGCAACCAAGATGTAAGCTTGGCCCTGTAGAAGTTCTCCCACCTACAACAAACCTGTTGTGATGACAGGTAAGATGTTAAAAAAAAAAAAAAAAAAAAAAACAAAAAAAAAAAAAAGCCAAAAATAGCTTTTCCAATTCAGATCATCTTGGACCAAAAAGAGGAGAGAAATGCAAAGCCAAAACTACAGGGCCTCAGGTCTGCAAGCAGGCAGGAGGGGCACAAGTTCAGGGCCAGAGGTTAACAGGGAATAAAAAAATGTCTCACCTAAGAAATGTGAAGAGCCAGGCCCAATGTTTAAAGAGAAACTAATTTACTTGTAAAAAGAAGCTAAACTAAAACTGCTGATGATCTGTTCTCTGGGCTGAGTACTGACAGAAAGCTGTGGGCTTGAAGAAGCTAGAAGCTGGAGAACCGAGAAGCCCACTGCCTTGGTCACCAGGTCTGCACTAGCCTTGCCACCACAGGTGAGTTCTGAGGGAGGCACAGACACATATGCACCTTGCTGATGCGAGCGTTTCTCACCCAAGCAGCTGAAGGCCTGAAGAGACAAAGAGGGCTGTCTGTCTCTCGGAGAAGACAGAACGCCGGACTTCTTGCTGGGGCTGAGACATTGCTCATATTTTCCTTTGGGCTCAAACTGAAGCAGCAGCTCTTCTTGGGTCTTGACCTGCCAGCTTTGGGACTTGAAACTTATGCCACTGGCTCTCCTGGTCTCTAGCTCTCCACTGACAATTTGGGACTTCACAACCTTTATAATTACTTAAGTTAATTCCTTATAACCAATCTCTTTCTTGGTCTACCTGCTCCCAAAACTCATGAGTTGCATAATGGCATTTTGGTCAGTGGCAGACAGCATATAACAGAGTGGCCCCATAAAATCAGGACAGAAATAAAAAACCACATTGCCTAACGATGCTGTGATTGCTGTGATATTACAGCACATCATTCACACATTTGTGGTGATGCTGGTGGAAACAAGCCTGCTGTACTGTGAGCTGTACAAAGGTATAGCACATATAATTATGTATAGTGCTTAATACTTGATAATGATAATAAATGACTAGGTTAATGGTCACTGATTAATGTATGTAGTATACTATACTTTGTTATTTTAGAATATACTCCTTATAAAAATAAATTTACTGTAAAACAATATGTTGGGTAACTCTGTGTTTACATAATGACAAATCTTTCTAATGACTCATTTCTCATAAAGTATCCCCACTGAAAAACAACACCTAACTGTGTAGAGCCCCAGATAACACAGTATTAAACAAATTTTAACCCAACAGAGTAAGAGAAAGCAGAGAATGGTCTCAATGGGATGTAGACAGTGTGGACTGGCTACCTAAAAGCCACTCACACACCTCTCCTTCCTTGCCCTCTTGTACCGGATCTGAAAAGCTAAAACAGTTTCCCAGCCTCTTTGACAGTGAAGGGTGACATAATTGGAACAATGAGGCACGATGGCCGATCCCTAGGAGGACTCTCTTGCTCTTAGCCTTCCTGTTACTGTCACCCTTTTCCCGCCTAGATCTTGAACACACTCGTGGGGGAGCAGAGGCAGTCATCTCCGCATGAGAACACAGCCCCATACTGGAGAAGGGTAAAGAGGAAGACAAAATGATTCAGGGTCTATGAAGAAAGCTGTGTAGCTGCTCTCATCCTGGATTACTTTTCCAGAATTTTTAAGACAGATGCACTCCACCTCTAAAGCCAGTATTGGGTGAGTTACTGCTTATTTATAGTTCAGATTTCAACCATTACAACAGCTGAACCTCTGAGTTTTAATAAAATATATTCATTCAAGAAATTTTTAAAGCTTTGCCAGACTCATGGCACCGAGAGAAACTAAATTTGAGAGCCTCCCATTCCCAACCAGGGGTGCTGGTGGGAAGCAAGCCTGGTGCCATTCCAGATTACAGTCTGGGGTGGGGCAGGCGGGGTCCCAGGGCCCCTGTGGTTTCGGGCATGTTTGCCAGTGGCAAAATGCTAACACTAAAATGGATGGAACACTGGAGATTCAAGGCATCAGCAATGGATCCACTCTTTCTCACTGTTTCTAAAAGTTCTCTTTAAAGAAAAACTAATTATGCTTGCTTACTTCTGCAGCATTAGGATGAGCTTGCGGTCCTTGCTCATGCAGTGAGAGCAATTATCTGTCTCCACCGATGCTGGCAGCAGGAGACACAGTGGATGCAGTACAGCTAATCAAGAGTGTGAGACTTTGTTCTGCCACTTTTTCTTTCATTCTGTATCTCTGAACATTTCTAAATTGATTTCTAATTTCTCATAAGTATTGACATTAAATGAGATAAGGATTACAAGAGATGTACATAGCACATCATAACTAGAAGACAAAATCTCTAAATGTAAACATTCTGAAAAAGTAAGACTCTATCAGATAACCTGATTATGTGCAAACTAAAAGTAAATAAGTTTCAAAATATGGAAACTATATGAATAATATTATAATAGTCCATTTACTTATACTTATGGCATTTATTTTGGCTCTTCTTTCCGCAGAGAGTAGAAGTTGCTAGATAAGTGATCTCCATCTGATAAAATGCTATGGTAGAAAGCCTTTATAGAACAAATTTTAAAGAAACAAAGCACATAAAACTTGGTATATTTATTACTGAGTGATAATTGGTATCAATAATAATATAATTCAACCCTCTTACTATATGCTTTATAGCATTCTGGCCTTTCATGTCCTTTTAATTGCATGTTTAATGTCACATATTTAATGTCATACTCCTTCTACACTCTAAGCTCAGTAACTGTTTATTGTACTTAAATGTCAGCTTGGTGGTTGATAAGAAGCTCCAACAAATAAAATGTATGCAGCTCAAAGATCTGTTTTACTTACCCTTGTTTCCTGTCACTGACAGAAGGGCCTTTGCTCTTGGAATTAGCGAAATGAAAGCAAAGCCTCAGAAAGACCTGAGACGCCGCCTGGAAATGTTTCTATTATCATATATACCTTGTCCTGAGTTTGGCACCGGAAACAGTCACAGTCAAAGCAGTACTGGTCTCTCAGCTGCTTCCGGCGCTCCTCACTGGTCATCAGTATGTCCAGGTAGCAGATGGTAAGCTGTGGAGGGAGACCAAAGAAGGTAAGGGTTACCACAGCTGCCGTGCACATTTTCGTTACTAATGGTTATTACTGCTGAAGGTTAGAGTAGATTTTGCTTTGATTACAAATCAACAAGTTTAAGGGAGAAGGTAGCACTTATAGTCTCTTACCTCATCAAGTCAAATTTCAACATACTTCCTTCGAGTCTTTGTTAAATGCAAGTACATGTATCATATCTTTTAAAGAACTGAGCTTATGACCACCATATACTTTTGTATCCTACCTTTTAAAACTTTTCATTAAATGGCAAAATAACATCAGTCAGGGTATGTTCTGTATTACTGAGGTTTAGCCACAAATGCTATACCCACTGGCAATCAAAAGGATGGCAGATGACACAGCCTGATTGCTCTTAAGTCCTAATCAATTCTACAGATGTCTCCAGGAATTTAGGGTTCTCCAAACCTTGAAACTAGGTAAGTAGTTCACTTACTTGTAACTAGGTATAAAATGTGGAATAATTTCCAAGGAGGGGAGAGTTTAATGTTAGCAGACAATCATTGGTAGTGTGTTTCATAAGCTGATTTGCTTGGGTCTTTTCAAATACAGTATCGGGAAAAAATAAGAACCAAGATACTTCATGTAAAGGTACACGATCCCAACGATGAATGTAACTGTACTGTATACCTAAAATGTACCAATAAACTTACTGAAAAAAACACAGTAACTAATCTCTGCCTTGGAGGTAAAAGGTCAAGTTGAGAGGATACCCTTAAAAAGCTGCTGAGTGTCTCTCTAGCCCTAAGCATCTACTTGTAGTCATAGGTCTTTATGGTTAAATTCATGAGAGTTGTCCTCCAATGCACTCACAATCAAATTTAAAAATATGTAAAAGAGAATTCTTGATTCCACCCCACCTGTCCCACCTCAATCCCTTTCCAATCTCAGAAGGCAGAAATTCCTCCTCGCATTCTGAAACCTCAGAACTATTCTTGGCTTTTCTCTTCCCTCTACACTTCCATCCAGTCTTAGTATATGTGCTGCCGAAGTGAGCACTACACTTCCATCCAAATCCACCAGGAAATTCTGTGGGGTTTATCTTAAAAATGTATCTACAGCCAACTACTTTTCCAGCGTTCCCACCCTGACCTGAGCCACCACCGTCTCTTGCCTGTAAAGTACAACAGTGTCACGGCTGATGCCCCTGCTTCTTTCCCTAGGTTCTCTAGCATGCCACCCTCTAGCTGCAAGGTTCATCAGTGAACATGAGTTAGACCAGGGCTTTCTTCTGTCTGAAATTGAGCAACAGAGCTCCTCGTGCCCGAGTAAGGGCCAACTCCTTACAGTGACCCTCAGTGCCACTCAGTGTGGACCCTGGCCTGGTGCTAGTCCACAGTGGGGGCTACCAGTCCACTAGGAAATAAGCAAAGAAAGATGAAGCTGACACTCAGAAAATTTTCTTCTAATTTTGTGAAGAGTAACTTATATGATATAATAATAAAACACTGGACTTGTACTTTGAATTTTCAAAACACTTCACATTCTAATAACTAACTGATTTCCAGTATATTTTATTAAAAATATTGATCTTCAGTCAAGAAAAATACAGGTCCTTCCATCACAGGTAGCTGGAGAAGCAGTGGCTTCACATAATCGGATCCCATTCCCTCTGAACTCATGTCCTTTTCTCCTTTGGATCTTACTGCTCCAGCCAGCTTGGCCTCCTTGCTGTTCCCTTGCTCTTGCCTCAAGGCCTGTGAACTAGACATTTCCTCTGTCTTCTCCCATATCACCAAGGCAAACTCTTTCATTTTCTTTCTCATCAAATCTCACTTTCTAGATGAGGCCTAACCTTAATACCCTGTTTACAATAACAACCTGATTTCGAGCCCACCCCAGGACTCCTAATTTCCTCACCATTCTGTTTTTTATCTTGTGTATGTGTGTGCATGTGCATATGTGTATAACATAAATCATCTTGTAGACTGTATAAAATACTTCTTTATTTGCTTTCAAATGTAGAAAGTAATTATAGGGGTATGTGTGGTGGTGGAAGAAAAGGATATTATAGGAGAGGAAGAAGGTAGGATTACTTACTAAGGAGATGACAAAAACTCCCTAGAGCAAAAGTGCCATGTGGTTTTTCTTTCCCTTAAAGCATCTCATGTCAACATAACATGATCTTACTTGTTTGAAATCATGGTAGGGCACAGAAGGTCATCCTCTTTGACAGAAAACAGCTTCAGGAAGCCTCACTAAAGCTGCACAGAAGGAAGGGGAAGGCTGGACAGCAAGATCTGTCAGACCCTCCATGGTCATCACCAGGTAGCAGAAACCACAGCCTCACCTGGCTGGCCAGCTCTCTACAGAGTCTTTCTGTGTTAGGCAACTCTACATGCTGCTTCATACTCAGGAGTAAGAGGATCTGCTCTTAGGAAATGTAGATGATGATGTCAGTGAGTATCCGCTACCTGCTGGGCACCGGCCAAGGCAACTTGGAAAGTACAAACCAGCTAAGCTCTCGGATTTGGGTAATGTTGGGATTTGTACCCAGACCTCCTGATTCAAGCCTGATACTCTTTACACAAGAAAAGCTGCTTCTCATGCTTTTTGGGTGCCATGGGAGAGACTTGCTACAGAGGAGCCATGACTGAACCATCATGCCCAAAGAGCTCAAGCCTGCGTGAGGAAGGGTTTTATGACAACTGGGCTCCTTTAGCCAAGACCATACCACTTTTTAATTCCCTAGGTCTTTTTCTTGATTCGTGATCTGGGATCAGGGCTATCTCTAAAGTACAAAGAGCCTTCATATTAGGCAAGTTCTTCTGGTTTTATAGAACAACAGATTCCGCATTCCAAATAACAAATTCTCAACATGCTTTTTGAAAAAGCCTTTCAGTAAGTCTGGGGCATTATGTACATTCATTTCGTATCTTTAGGCTCTCTGGGTCCGTTTCCTTATATGAGGCGAGGTGATAAATTAGCTGATCTCTATGTCCTCATTCCAGTCCTGACTCCTAGTCACTGGCCCAGCCACCAGATCAGGCCAATTGGAAATAATAGTTATTGGGGGGACTACAAGGTACACAGTGTGAAGCCCCTGACTCTGGGGTGCCTGACTAACCCAATGCTTCATTATGAGGGCCAAAATTCAAGAGTGATCATGCCAGGCAGTGAATGGGCAGCAGGAGACTAGTTATTTCATTCAACCCCAATAAACAGGCTCTTATAGCTTCCCTTGGTATCTGATAACTGCTGGCAACCATTACCTGGACTATGCAATGGTTTTCTAACTGGCCTCCCTGCTGCCTTCCGCCTAGTTTCATCTTCTAAACTGCTTTCAGAGAGATCATCCTAAAATTCCCACCTGATCACGTCATTTCTCTACGTTAACACTTTTGATGGTTTCTCACTGCCTATGGGATAAAGGCACACAAGGCTTTCCCCTACTGAGTTTAAGTCTGCTTCTGGTATCAACATCTTTCCCAGCACCCTATGGCCTGTCATGATTGTGTACATCGCCACTCCTCTGCGACAACACACACTCATGCCAACATGTTTCTGTGCATGGCTGCTTCAGCTGAGTAAGAGCTCTCTCTACCTTCAAGATTAGCTTAAATATGCCTCTTCCAATGAGGACTGCCCTATTCCCTCAGAGTCAATGACCCTTTTTTTCCTCTTTATGCTCTTTCATTCTATTGAAGTTTGCAAAATACACTGTTTCAAAGTCTAGGAAAAAACATTCTGTAAAACACATACCCAGATTGCCAACAGGTAATGATAGCTAAGTCATTTTGTCAGCTGAAGTTAAAAACCTTTATCAAAGACTCATTAATTCCCACTTTTAATGGCATATCTGCTCACTAAACATAGGGTTCATTTAGTTGGAACATTCATGTGAAACCTGGCTATTGATCACTGATGCTTTAATGACATCAAACAAAATTGCATTAAAATATTAATGCCACAGACCACTGCTCTTCCATTTTAGAGCAGCTTTTATGGAAAATACAGTAAATCAACTCCAACACTAGAGTAATATTATCAAAGAGAGTTTCTATCTCTTGAATATGCTGCTTACACTACAATCTCCAGGCAAAATGAATTCCTTTTCCATAAAACCATCTTTCCCATCTATAACTGGGTGGATAATAAGCTAAATTAAAATCAGACCCTATTTTTATTTCTGGAGTTATACTGCCATATTTTCAGGTTGTTTTTTTCTTTCTCACAACTGAATAAAGGCTCTAAATTTTTGAAGTCAAACCTAAGTGTCACTTTCATTTCTTCTCTTTGTGTCACAAATCCTGATAGATTTAGCTTCTTTTTATTACATTCTTCAGGTTCCCCCATCCTAAGCCACCACCTCACCTCCTCTTGACTTCATGCTCTGCTGTCATTATTCATGCTTCATGCTTGCCTGGATTGTTTTATCTCTCTGACTCTCATTCTTTCAATCTTATCTACACACAGATAACTGGTCATGCAGTTCCTTTCTTAAGTGTTTTAACAATGTCCCATTGTCTGTTCCTCTCTTTTCCATGAATATTTACTTAGCACCTCCTACATACCAGGCACTGCCATGGAATCTTCACAGGAACCCAGTCCATTGCTCTGGCCCCTACATACTTCCTCACAGCTGTCACATCTGAATTCTGAGGTCTGTTGATATGAGCAGTTTCTTACTACATGAACTCATCGATCTGTCCCTGACCTCTGTGTCACAGTTTAATCCCCTTCCCCTGCTTCAGTGGCTTTAACTCTATGATCCTTTCAGATCTAAGAGTCCCTTCTCTGGAAACTTTCCTTAACCACTCCCCAACTCCTGCCTCTCCCTATCCCTTGGATACTCTGCTCTAGATGGCTGTAAAGCCCTGTGTACATTTACATCATTCTGCCTCTAATATTCTATTACTGCTTTTTGCTCTGTGCCACTTTTCACAACTATAACTTGAATTCCTGCAGACCCTATTCAACTTTATCTTCCTCAAAGTTTCTGAAACTAGCACCCCAGCTCCTGTAACCCAGTAAGTACTCAGTGAATTTGTTAAATGGTTTAACAAAAAAACAGACCTCATCCCAAAATACGTTAGATTAAAACTAACATTAGGTATATTGATATGTTCAATACACACAAACCACACTTCCCCCAAGCCATGTGGCTCTGGAGAAGGCTGACAGCCAATGACATTAGTTACAACAGCCTCAAGTTCTTTTAACTATGAAACCCATGAGGGTGGCCTACACTGTCCAGCTTTCTTCTCTGATCCATGTTTTTTAAATGACCATCAGTCTATCAAATATATTTTACAGCTTAGCACAGCTCTGCAGGGACAGCCATCAGAAATCCAAGTGACAGCCATGACACATGTGCACAGTAATGTATGAGATATTACAAACTTCTCTGCAAGAGGTGGCAGGAAGAAAAGCCGAAAACCCCAAAATGAACACAAAAGACTCAATAACTCACCAAAACAATAAAAATTCTTAAACTGCAATAAGTTGTATAGTGCTGGATTGAAGGAAAATGTTCCGAAGGTGGTCCAAAGTATGGTTTTATGTGAAAAGAAACAAAAGGTAAAGCAACTTCTGTTATTGTGGAAACTTCAGCAATTTCCCAGCTCTCCCTGTGTGAGGACTGAAATGTTCCCATGAGCTGGCTTCAGTGTTCCTTTCTGAATGCCATGGAATGGAACACACGTACGTACTGTGCATAAGAACACATATAATTTCAAATACAGCTGTAATATTCCATTCTGCCTCTTGTTTTACCTTCAGCAAGCCTCTTCGTTTACTCAACAGATACAAATCAAGCATCTTCTGTTTCTTGCACTGCCTAGGCTTCTCTCAAGGAGCTCACATTCTGGTGCTTATATCCCAAACAACCCATGTTAAAAGTGGGGGTGCCCTAATAATCAAAAAAGCCAAAATGCAAAGATGATGCAATGGAATTACCAAATTGTCTAAATTTGCTCCAATATTTGCATAATAAATAGGAATTAGTCCTCTTAAGAAATGCCTACAGTGTCTTTGCTCATGATTCTCCCTCTCTTTATCTCTGCCCCAAAGTGTCAGTTTTAAATGTACAGCACGTATTTTAGCTGTAGCTGGCAGTTACAGGCATTAATTGAGCAGGGTCTGGAGACACAGTTCTTCCTCAGTGGTCCACAGTTGCACACAACAAAGAACTGTTCCATCCATAATGCTAACAGTGCCCCACTGAGCAACACTGTTGGTCTTTAATGTATGCTCAATTAATAGAAGTCAATTCAGCAAAGAGGGATCAACGCCTCTTGGGTATAAGGCAAAGTGCTGGGATGTTCCAAAGTGAGCAAGACCCAAGTCTCTGTCCCATGACGACAGCTGAATGAGTCCGAGTGAGTGCCAAATAGGCTAAAAACCACCAAAAGGGAGATCTGAGAGGGGAAGGTCTTCCCTTAACATCAGAAACTGAGAAAAGCTTTAAGGTGCTTGAAAGAGCCTTGAAGGGCATATGATATTAAGGAAGCAGAAATGGTGGGCAGAGCAGACACGTAAGCAGAGGAAATGGCAACCAACAAGGCACATACTACAGAATGGATATGGTTCTATTTTAACAAACTGATAAAGAAGGACTTATAGAGAAAAATCCTGTTTTTGTTGAGAAAGATGCCTTGCTAAGAACCACTGAAAAAAATGCCTGAGTCTGCAGGGCTTGATGCTGAGCAGAAATGTTCTGTTTGATGTGAGAAGGATTTGCTTATTATTGCTCCAGAGATAGAAAGAGAAGCACATGAAAAAGTGAAATAAGCACCAAAAGACGAGGTATTTTCTCAACTACATAAAAACCAACCAAGCAGAGTAAGTGGTGACCAAGTCTTAAAAATAAGATATGAGAAAACTTTTCTGTTGTTTCTGAAAGTTCCAAGCATTTCTAAGAGCTTTTCTGCTTGCTTGACAAGTGTATTTTTCCTCAGCAGTGGTATGGACTGAAACCAGGGTTTTCTGCACGCTAGGTAAGTACTCTACCACTGAGCTACATCCTTAGCCCTTGTTTTTGTTTTAAAATTTACTAGAACATTATCTTCAACAACAACAACAGCCACGCTTTGGCCCCTAAACTAATATTGCTGAAAATAGCTGGTAGTTCTCTTTCTCACCTGCTTTGCAGTCATATATGGCCCCAGAAAAAATAAACCTAAATTCTTCATATCATTGATAGATATGTACACTTAGTACACCAGTTCTAAAAACAAGAAATTCAGCAAAGTCAAATCAATCACAGTGTAAGTGGTGGCTTATTCAGTTGACAGTCAGTTTGGGGGTGGGGGAATCTTGTCAAAGCCAAATTCCTGACTTCATAAAATGTTACCTCCAATTTCAGATTTTATTGGCTGAGTGCTGCAAAAATGCAATAAAAGCTTATGATCCTTTGTTTTCCTTGCAGTAAATATCTACTTTAGCAAATTGGATGGTAGAAGGAAAGTGGGATCTAGAAAACATAAATATCTGTAACCCAGAACTCAGCACAGAAGTTAACAGAGCAAGCTCCATGCAGACTTGCATTCAGCGGTCCTGGAGTGGCTCAGGTGTGGCTGCCTTGTGAGATCTCAAGCTGCTCTGAAGATTCCTTGCCCAAACAGGAGGGCTTGGCTGTCTACAAACCAAGAGTCAAGGCCCATTTATAGCTGAAGGTCATGCTCCCAGGCCTCTATTTCTTTTCTGTACATTTGCTTAAGTGATCACCCAGAAATGAGGATGGATTTGTAAAGGTCCAGTGACAGCCTGAAAGAATAAAACCTGTTTGCTTTTTAAACATGGATATAAAAAATTCATAATCACCTTCAAAATCCGATTAGTGGCCTTTGGAGTGAGTACACTCTTAGGAAACTACTCACAAGTGAGCTGCCCTCCTCATCATGGAAGAATGACCATTTTCAGGGAGGTGATGGGCCACTGAACTGTTGCCATTGAGATTTAACAACTGCTGTGCATATATATAAAATACACAATCCTCTGTCACTCATATAAATAGCAATCACACACTAGAACTATCACCATCCTGAAATGTGACAAAATAAAAAGTTAGCATCCCATAGCCTGGGATGTGACTGGTTGATGGACAGAGGTGACTGTATCATGTATCTTCTCACTGGGAGAAGGAAGGATAGTGAAAAGCTTTCCCTTGTAGGATGGCCACACTTGAGTCTTTGGTGTGGAAGGAGACCAGGCAGGCACAAACCCAAGTTTCCTTACCTCTTCTCCCACCTCGATGTCTCGCACAGCACGCAGTAGGAGGTGAGGCCCAGTAAACACAATGGAGCAGTTGGGGTCACAGCTATGATTGAGCAAGGACATACTGAAAAAAAGAGAGGAAAGCTATCACAGACTAGCAGGTGGAGTCAAACAGCTACATTTGGTAATAAAAAGGAAAAGACACTTTGGGTTGGGAGATGTGGAGTAGGAAGGAATAAGTGAGGCTGAGAGGGTCCCACAGACTGAGTACACTGGGTCCATCCACAGAAAAGTCACCAGCCCACTCCATAAAAAAGAAAATGCTCCCTAAGATGGTGGCTAATTAGGAAAATTTGCTCATAGAAATATTTTTCAGTCCTTTTTTGGGTAGGGGGCAGGTGTCTCAGATCGCTGCCAGGGAGGTGATCCAACATGAAGATGGGGAGAAAAAGGGAGCTGCAAAGAAATCTCTGAGATAATAGGATGCAAGAGCAATCACTGCAGCCAAGATGCCACTGACCTTTCCCACAAAGGATCTCATTAGGTGCCTCTGCTACAGCGTAATAATGAGGAGGACTTCCTCTTACAAGGAAAGCTGAGGTGGTCTTCCCAACTAGATCCTGATGCACTCCAAGCCATAGCCTCATCATTTTATTACCCTAGAAGTACAGTCTTCTCCACCTGGGAAGTGGAATGTATTTAAGCTGCCACCATAAATTGATAATAATTAGAATGAGCACTTACTATATAGAAAGTACTTTTTTAGTACTCGAGCATGTTTATCAAAAGCAGTCATCACAATGACTTTACAAAGATCATTTGCAAATGAACAGACTGATACATAGACGTTTAATGACTTATCCAAGAACACACACTAGTAAGTGGTGAGTGAATGTGAACGAGGTGGTCTGAACTCAGAGCCCATGCTCTCAACCATTCTCTGTTATTTTTTGAGAATCAATAGCAATAGGCCTGATTTGCAGCTAATGACACTTGTGGAAAAGAAGAGGCAAATTCTCAGATTCACAGTTAATTATAAGAAAGAATATGGTTATACTTGAACCCAAATGACATAAAAACAAAAGTAGGATGGCCCTGGTGCCTGTGGAAGGGCAGTCGAGTAGCTCAGGGACAAAGGTCATCATGGTGATAGTTATAGAAGCAGTGGAGAGAGCCAATCTTCAAACCTGTCTTGCCTCCTGGACTGATGGGGCTCTGAATATGCTAATACAAATGACAAAATTAACCCACTGCTACAGGACAGCAAGTCTGATGAAATTCTCATGTGTTTCAGCACAGGAAGTAGAGCAATAAGATCAGAGAGGGTGTGGTGGAAAACCAAACCTCAGGCTGACAGTTAATTGGTACCCACAATCCTCAACTTCCTACCCCAAGCCCCCTAAGAACAGAGGCCCACCTATTCATTAATAATAACATAGCATATAATGTGCAATTATAAAACTTAACATTTTTATATCTTCTTATAATTCAACACTAAGTTTCCAGCCTGGCTGTTGAGCCAGCTGCTGGGATAATCATCCTAACTACCTCCAAAAAGGCTGGGAGTTGGGTGGGAATTAAGGTCATGTCTTCCAGTCCATGAAATACTGTCTGCCATACCTGGGGTACAGGCCAACACCAACTTCCTGCATCTCTGCATTACAGATGGTGAAAGAGTTGCAGATCACCTGTGAAAACAAAGGGGAGATAATCAGTGTTTCTAGAGCCACTTGAGAAATTTCATAGGCAAGAGAATAAAAACTTTGAAAATAAAATGGAAGGGCCTTTCTGTACTTGTATGGTAAAGGTCCAAGCTAAATATGGATGCTCTGTGATTTGCAAAAGGCATTCTTTATGGCACACTCCCCTTCAGGGTACCAGGTGTCTCAGTACAGAAATACTAACATTCTGAGGTTTAAACTAGCATAGTAACTATTAGTCTAATCACTCTCATCCAAAGTCACAGTTATGTACAATGTTCAACATTCAGAATACAAATAAGATACTTGTTGAGAACTCTGCTCCTGTACATCAATGTTTTTAACCCAAATCACATACAGATGCCAAATGCCATGGTATCTGATGAGTCCTCGAGTTAGTTCGTGACCCAAGCTGATCACAGATATGGTAAACTCAGGTAGTTAATTTAGTCAAGCTGCAGCATTCGTTAGACACATGGAACCCCTCACTAGGTATGTGGCACAGTCCTGTACCCTTTGGGGTATATGGCAGGGAAATCAAAAAGATAGTCATTGCTCTCAAGGAACTTCAAAAAATCTTTCTGCAGTAAGACAAATGTCTGAGAGGCCACACACCACCATGGAAAGAGCACTGGACTCGGAATGAGAAAATCAAGGTCCTGGTCACACATCACTGCCTTAGACAGATCTTAGGGAAAGAGCAGTAAAGAAAATAAAACAATACAAACAAAACTGAAAATACCTGGCTTGATAGAACTTAACATCTACAGGAAGACAGATTGTCTTTTAAAAAATATCTGATGAAAGAAAATATCATTTGTGAATAAATGCTAAAAACATAAATACAGTAAAGAGACAGAGAAAAAGAATGTCAAATAAGCTCTTTAGGATACAGTGACATTTAAGAAGTGACCTTCAGGGACTGTGGAAATGAGCTTGTGCATACATTAGGTACTGAAGGTTCTTGGAAGGAGAAAGAGGAAGACAAAAGACCTGAGGTAAAGTGTTCTTGGGTACACACAGTAACAGTAAGAAGCCTGGTGTGGCCAGAACAGAGGAGATAAGAGAGATCAGAGAGGTAGCTAGGTCACACAGGACCTTACTATTCTGAGTGACATTTTACTCTGAATGACAAAATCACTGGAAATTCACTAGCTTGACTCCAAGCCAAGGAGAAAGTAGATATGATCTGTTTTGAAAGGCTGTTGCATAGGGACTGGGCTATTAAAACGTAAGGATGGAAATAGAGGACATAGTTAGAAGTCAACTTTATAGCCCAGGTGAAAGATGAGGGTGGCTAGGATGACCGTGGTCAGAAGGTAAAAAGGGAAGAAGTTGGTAGCGCTGCCAACAGGACTTACTGGGTGACTTTACAGGAATAAAATGAGTCAAGATAATGCTTGCCTTTTTTAGCTTGAACAAGTAGAAGATTATAGATGCCATTTATTACGACGAGGAGGAATATAAAGGAACAGGTTTGGCTGATGAGAGCTTGCAGGAAGTCCAATGGTTCTGTTTCAGTTATGTTAAATTTGAAATTTATTATCTGACATCCAAGCCAAGACGAAGAATGAACAAATGGAGTTCAGGGGAGTACTTAGGACTGGAAATATAAATTTCGGACAAAAAAATAACAGAGCCCATCAAAAGAAAGTAGAAAGGCCCACTGTAGACTTGAGATAATCCAGTGTCTACAAATGGATGCTGACTTCTTAGAAAGCTTCTATACAGGAAAAAGCAGTGATGAGAGATTTCTCTAAATCAAATTTATATGAAAGAACACAAAGTATGAAAAAGTGTTCGGTCCTTTGAGAGTCTTTCACTGCTCCAAACAGCTCTTATATGAAATTCAGTGCAACTTATCATGATTTGGCATGTCTCCTCTAAAAGTCTGATAAAACTGCAGTTTGAAATGAGGAAATAAGTTGGTGTATAGACACATATTTTAAACAAATACCAGTTAAATTGCTTTATGGGCATCTGTTTTACATTAAGCTGTAACACTGTACTGCCTATATAGACTTAGGTATATAATGGATGATAAAAATGCAGGACAAAAGTTTCTGTGGGCTTTCTTAAATTGTATTTTAAGTGAGTACGAATATGAGAGGGGATATGGACTTTAACACATATTTTAAAGCATAATCAGAATTTCAGCTAAAGTTATCCACTAATGAAAAACATATTGAATATTTAATTTTCTCATTTTGAATCACACTAAAATTAATTTTTTTCCTCAACTACAAAGCATATTGAAGGTTTTTTTCTGAAATAGTTTCATTCAGATGAAATTTTCAAAAGAGGAAGAACTATGAGAGGAAATGCCAACATGGTGGTCTCTTACTCTGGGAAATTCTTCCTCATCCCTGGACTTAGATGACTTTTACTTCCCCTTTTAGCAGTGTTTATCAAACCAGATCATCATTATTCACTCATTACTGGCCATTATACACAAACAGATTATAAGATACTCAAATAGTAGAGATAGTATTTCTTTATCATTTATATACTTATCATTTATTCCTGCATTCCCACACATAGCACAATGCCTGGTACGCAGAAGACAATAATAAATGGTTTTTAAGATAGATGGATGACTGACTGCTTGGGTATGGTCCTCAGTATCCCCAGAGGGCTGTTATCCAGAACAAGGTGAGGGAAGAGGCCAGAAACTAATCTGGATATGGAAGTGGAGGAGGAGAGACAGGTGGAGTTCTGGGCCAGGAAAAGGATTAGGTGAAAGGTGATTTCCACCATTTTTGTCCTTAGGTACCCAACCTTTATAGGACACTGCTCATATTGCTTTGTCCAGTTTTTCTCTCCAGACTAAGTTTTTTTGTTTCACCTTTTTTTCTACTAGTCCCAAGACTGGGATGGCAGTCTTACTCATTAGAGGAGCACAAGGACTTGTTTGATTCTCTGCTTATACCAAGGACCTGGAATACTGGCACAAAATATTTGCCAAATGAAGCAATAGATGACAGTTCTGATGTTTCTCCCCTTCCCTTTAGCTTCTCTTGTATCTTTTTCCTGTATTCTTTACTTTCTGCTCTTTTCCTATTTCCGCTATTATGAATCTCCCAGTCTCCTCTCTACATCTCATTCAACTCTGCAATAAAAGTACAGTGTTTTCAAATTTAACAAGTTCCAAATAAAGTCCTCATCTTTCCTGGTCTCAGAGATATGTGTGCCTGACACAGCCTTCTTGAGCCACCAAATAAAGAAAAGTGTGGATTTCCCCACTCTCGCTTTTCTTAAAAACGGTGGTTCTACTCGGCACCACCTTGACTAAAAATAACTTTAGAGGAAATAATCTTGACATGTACCAGTGACAGGCACGATGGATGTGAAGCTTCTCTTAGGAGTTTTCTTTTTTGAATGAAAGAACAGGTACATGATACGCCCAGGCACACTCAAGCAATAATTTAAAAGGAACTGTTCCTTACATCAAAAAGTAAAAGAATAGAATCACAAAATAAATCTTAAATATTTTTAAAGTATTACTTTTTATAAATAGTTATCTTAAGAAATTTCACATGCTAAATAACTAATAAATGAATATGTCACATGAAGACATATCTAGAAAAGCATACTAATGGGGTTATTTCAATAAAGATAAAAGTGATTAAAAAAACAAAACAAAACAAAAGATAAAAGTGATTAGGGTAATTCATTCTACAAAATCAAGCATAAGTGTTCTTTTTTTTTCTTTACTGGTACATTTTAGGTATAGAGTACAGTTGCATTCATCATTGGGATCTTGTACATTTACATGACAGGTCTTGGTTCTTATATCTCCCCTTACCCCTGCCCTCCTTCACCCCCTCCACCCTTCCCTATTTACAAAGATTTTGCTTCCATTTTTCCCTTTTCTCATATATTTTCTTTTCCCTTCTTACCTTTTCCCTACCCCTCCCACTTCCCCTACACCTTTAGCCCTTTTTTCCTATTACACAATATAACTTATACATTTTGATCCTTATTTACATTTTCAGTCTATCACACCAGAGAAACTATTCGGTATTTATACATGTGTGTCCTATTAATTTCACTTAAAAGTATGTCCTCAATGTGCACCCACTTAGCTAAATGTCTCTAGTTTCTCATTCTTTATGGCTTTTAATTCTTTAAGGAAGATATTCAGCAGGGGAATAGCTGGGTCAAATGGGACCTCTAATCCTAGTTGTTTAAGGTATCTCCACGTTGATTTCCACAGTGATTGCACCAGTCTGCACTCCCACCAACAATGTTGAAGGGTTCCTTTGTCCCCACAACCCCACCAACATTTGTTATTGGTTGGTTTCTTGACAGCAGCCATTCTTACTGGGGTGAGATGGAATCTCAGTGTTTGCATCTACATCTCTCAAATGACCAGTGATGTGGAACATTTTCTCATATGTTTTATTTGCTGCTTTTATTTATGTTTGAGCAATGTCTGTTCATTTCAGATGCCCAGTTTTGATTTGGGTTTTTAAATCTTGGGATTCTGATTTTTTTGAGTTCTTTAAATATTCTGGATAGTAGACCTTGGTCTGAGGAACAGTTGGAAGCATAAGTATTCTTTAAAAATATTTCCCATGATCCAAAACTAGAATGTACCATTTATTATTATTGAATATGAAGCTATGTTTTGTAACTTTTCCTTTAAAGTAGTTTAAAATAATGCTATAAACATTACAGCCTTGCTAGATGACAAAAATCTAGTGAACTAGTACAAGTGGCCACTGGAGTCCTATGTTTCATAAAAAGAACCAAAGTGAAATATAATTATTCTCTGACACAAATTATGATGTCACTTGGTGTAGATTCTAGGTTCAGAATCTGACATTTACCTTTGAGGTTAAAAAAATCCCTTGTAGAATAAACAAATAACAATCAATTTAAAATACAAAGTAGGGAGGGGGCAGGAGAAAGAAAGAGAAAGGAAAAAAATGAGAAAAGAAAAAATGGAAAAAAACTTTTGTAAATAAGGAGGGAAAGAGGGGTTG